AGTTTTTTAACAATTAATATGTGACGCCAAGAGAGACCCAAAAGTTTCTCTTCGCTAACTTGTAGTAAATGATTAGAGCTATAAAAATCACTTAAAAAACATTTGGGTCTTCTTTGGCGTCACTATTAAAATCGTGTTTATATTTTTTGAGATCCATTTTCCGTTAAAAATATAGTGTTTATATAATTATTGATATAACAAATATTGTTTGCTTTTAAAATATCTACAAAACAGTGAAGAGATTTTTAAATTATCTCAACTCGTTTTTCGTTGGCAAGAGTTTTGTTTTTAAGAATAAAAAACAACCCTGTGCAGAGATGACAACAGTTAGAAATTTTGTTTTTGTTTAAAATGTCATTAAATGAATCACATTTCATCAGTATATCATTATAATTGTGATTTGTTGCTATCATTTTCCAAGTCAGACATACTGTTTGATTTATTATTATGAAATATCACAAAATTCCATGTTTCTGGTTTAAATATAAAAGATATAAAAAATTATCTTAGTATATTTTTCTTAAAATAATCGAGTTACTCTATTTTGAGACTGACCGTATATTTTATACTTCTGCAAGTTTTGAAATAATATTACTTAAAAATAAATCTAAAGTTTAATTATTAATTTCAGACACTTATTAAAATACTATTTCATCAAGTTTATTTCAAATAATAATATCAATTTATTTATTTATTTATGTTCACAACCATAAGTGTCCGGTGACTGACCCGTGCCATACAGTCCATAATTGAGGGCCCGTAGCAAAGGGTTATTCACTGAACAGCACTGTTTCTGGTAATCATCCAGGGTAATCTCCCAGATTATGATACCACCATAGCCATTGTCCTTAACCCACTTGCTTTTACTAATAAATAAATTTTAATTGAAATTAAAACCCAATAATTTTATTAATAAATATTAAAATTAAATACAATATAATTTAAATTATTAATAACTAAAATAATCTCATAATTAACTAGCGTAAATATGTTTTTAAAATATCTAATTAGACTAGTAACTAAGCTGTTATTTATATGGTAACCTAGGCTAGTTTAATGTGCAACTAATAAGATAACTTACTTATACATGGCATAGGGGTCATCATAGCTCATCCATTCATCACCCTTATAAACAATGGGATCATGACCATGGTCAGACAGCTCCTTAGTCCACCCGTCATTTTTGACGAGTCCACACACGTGCCCATAATCACCGTCCGAATGTCCGGCCCCTTTGATGGGTGCGCCCACTCCGTGCTTAGTCCTATCGGACAATTGAAACGACTGGCCATAGAAGGACACACCCAATAGCACCTTGTCTTTAGGCACACCCTTATTCACATAGCCCTCCACATCGGCTATTGATAAACCGTATGGCGATTGATGAGCAGTCTTGCCGTCGCCCACCCAGGCGTAGCTATAAGTCATTACATTTACGAAGTCCAGTGCCCTGGTCATAAATTAGTTATGTTATGCACTAAATATATATATTTTTAAAATAATAGTAGAATGTTACATTATGCTAAGGTGACTTAATATGTTATGCTAAGGCATAATAAAGTATATTACTCATCTATAGTTAATTATATAAAAAGCATTATATGTATATAAACCAACAAAATTATAAAAGGTAATAACTATCTAATAAAAATGTTTAAAATATTTGAAATTACAGTCTGAATGACATACTCGCCAATAGCCTTATAATCGTAGGCCTTGTCGGCAATGGCACCCCCGGACACAACTGCCGCCGATAGGTACAGTCTTGGCGTCTGTTTTTCAAACTCAGCCCTTATTTCCTGTTAATTTAATTTATTTAATAAACAACAAACAAATATAATTTAAAACTGTAAAAACATTTTTAAATAAAATGTATATAGTTTACAATAAGTATTGTTCGGATGTTAATTACTTAAATTTAGAAATAGACTTTAAAAACATAATATTTTTAATAATTTTACCTTGACAAACACACCATAGTTTTCCCGGTCAGACTTAGGCCCAGCCGTACAGTTACCGGTCCAGCAGACCGGGTACTCCCAGTCTATGTCCAGTCCATCAAACTTATACTTCTGGAGATATGCTATTGTATTGGCGATAAACCCTTTCCTCAGCTCCGGGCTATTAACCACACGTGAAAACTTGATGTCAGGGGCACCCCAACCCCCTACCGACACCATTACCTGTAAATCCGGATTCTTTTGCTTGAGTGCCACTAAGCGCCGGTAGGTATCGGTTTGTGGCGACCCTTTTGAGTCCAGGATTACGTTATTTTTATCGTCCATAACGTGAAAGGCGTAGTGAATGTGCGTACATAGGGTCGGGTCTATTTGCTCGGGTGTCTCACTACGCCAATTGGCCCAGTAGCAAACTACCCGGGGTTTGATAGCACACCACGAAATACATAACTGTATAGCAATTAGGCTTACGATTGCTAGTAATCTCATTTTCTCTTACGGTAACTAGTACAAATTATTTTTATAAAATCTTATGCGAATAAAAATAAGTTGATGAATGTATCGAGTTTTATATCAAAAAATATTAGTGATTTGTATTTATCTATTTTTATTTGTAAAGATTATAAAATATATAAAACTTGTGGTGATTTTCACACGAGTAAATTTTAGTGGAGTTTTAGCTTTGCCAAAAACATGTTTTAATTTTATTATCAATTATACTGTAGATTTAACTACAGTATTATACAGTACAGTGCCAATGCACAGCACAAAATTACTGCCCATACTTGTTTGG